TCGAGGAGGGCACCTGGCGGCGCGACGTCATCTACGAGCGGGGCAACGGCGAGACGCAGCGCTTCCGAGCAGGTGAGCCCCTGGGGGCATTGCTCAATGGCTGGCGCAACGCTCTGCTCGAGTTCTCCGAGGAGGAACGCGCGAGGGTCTTCGAGGCCATCGACGTTCGGGGGCAGCCAGGGGCCCGCGCGGACGAGCTCGTCGCTTCCTGGGCGATCGACATGCGCGAGCAGCAGCACGGCCAGAGCCTCGCGTTCGCAGACTGCCTCTCGAGCCAGTTGGCCGAGCCAGTGGCGCTCCGAGCGTGGCTCCAGAATGTAGCCCACGCGCCCATGGCCCCCGGCGTCGCGAGTTTCTTGCAGGAGCCGGACACCCGCGAGCACGGCCAGCTCATGGCCACGGTCCGAGAGGTCAAGGCCGAGATGCACTGGGCCATGGAGCAGGACTGAATCCAGATGGCCAAGGCCGAGCCCCAGAAGCAGTGCAAGTCCCCGACCCAATGGGGGCCCTATGAGTGCCTCTACTGCGTCTCCGAGGCCTACGCCCGCTTCCGTGAGGAGAACAAGGGCGCGGTGCCGCTCCAAGGGACGCAAGCGAACCAAATTTTCGCGGTCTGGCCGACAGAGCAGGGCGAGCTCAAGGTCGTTGCGGGCATGGGGCCGTGGAGCTACTCCATCGAGCCGCTCCGCGTCATCGAACAGAGCCTGGCGAGCGAGCGCCTGGAAGGCATGCAGAGGTGGCCCGAGGGCGCGCCGCCCGTGCCCGAGTGGAGCGTCCTCGATGGGATCTGCTTCCACTCGGACGACTTGCCCAGGGACTACGAGCAGGACGAGAACCCCTGCCTCCTGGAGCCCCGAGAACTGGACCTCGAGCTCACCGACGAGCAGAAGGACATGCTCAGAACGCCAGAAGAGCGGATCAAGGATACCCAGTTCCCGAGCATTCTCGAGGGCCGAATCAAGCAGAAACGAACAGCAGCTCGCAAGAGCAGGTGAGCGTCCAAGTTCTCGGGCCAATTCATGGGCGCTCACGCGCGCAAGTGGCAGGGCGAGATGGCCAAGACTGGCGGCGAGGCCTCGCTCGAGCACCTGCAGGCAGGCCGCCGAAGGCGAAGGCGAGCTTCTCCCAGGAGTTCAAGCAGAAGAAACAGGCGGAGAAGAACGTCCAGAAGAAAGCAAAGGCCGATGATAATCCAGGCCTCGAGGCTTGCGAGGACCCCTCCTGGCACGGCAAGGTGGCGCGCGTCACTGAGGAGGGAGTTCGCGAGGGCAGTCGCGGCAGAATGCAGGGCGTCCGGCGAGTCCTGGGCACCGACGACGCGCGCCGTCTGCGCGCCCTCGGGGTGGAGACCGCGACGATCTTCCAGATCGAGAACAGCGAGTCTGGAAGGCTTACAGGCACTCGTTAGTCTCCGCCTGCTTCCGGCCGAGGCGGCTGGCGCAGGCGAGAGCTAGCGGGCGCGGCGGACGCGACGGCGGAAGCAGCGGAAGTCGGCGGAAAGCTGGCGGAAGCAGGCGGAAGCGACACGAAGCGGAAGGAGGCGGAAGCTTACGAGTGCCTGTGAATCCCGAGCGGTACTGGTCACGATCGAGCAGGGCTGCAAGTTCCCCAAGCCGCGCAAGTTGGACTGGCGCCAGACCAGACTGGCTCGCCGCACCGAGCGCGCCATGTATTACGCGATCATGAACTGCGAGCAGATCGTCAAGGGCGACGCCCTCGAGCTGGGCACAGCGCGCGCGCTGCTGGGCGAGGTCGAGGAGCGCGCGGGCGCCCCCGAGACCGTTCTGGCGGTCGAGCCCACCGCGGCCGCCGCCTGGGCTCGAAAGGGCCCGGGCGCAGACGAACCCGCCGCCCGGCAGCCCGAGGGGGAGATGCGCTGGGCCGAGAGTGTCGACAAGGTCCAGCACGTCCTGATCTGCGTGCACTTCGAGGCGCCCGCGCACTACACATACCTCAAGGTCGGCGGTTGCTACAGTTGCGCCTGCCCCAAGGTGCCTCCAATCGTTCGCTCTGTTTTGGGGCGGATCTTGGAGGCGCCCCGGGCGGGGGGCACTTGTGGCGGCGCCCGCCGAGGTCTCGAGGATCGGCGGGGGCGTCGCGGCGGAGTGCCGCGACGCCCTCAAGACGCCGCCCGAGAACGCCAAACAGACCTAAACGGCCACGTGCGAACTCACGCCTACACCGCCCCGCGATTTCTGAGGGGGGAGGTAACTCGGGTTCACTTTGCTCGGGAGCTGCCGGACGAAGTGAACCCCGCCCTTCTCCTCAGAAATCGTTGGCGGGGTCCGCGCGTGGCCTCGCAAGGCCGCCGCGAGGATCCCCCGCAAGCTCGGCGCCATCGGTCCTGGTGAGACACGCCCCTCGAGGAACAACGAGATGTTCCAGGCCGACGCCTGGTCCTGCGGCCTGTGGGCGAGTCGCTGGACCGAGCGCGCCTTGCGCGAGATCCGAGGCGAGGTCCGCCGGGCGCCCGCGAGCACCAACGCGATGCGCGCCCGAGGCAACGACTGGATCAACGAGCTCAAGGAGGCCAGCGACAACGACCTGGCCGAGGCCAGGGCCAAGGCAAAGAGCAAGGCCAAGTCCAAGCCATTCAAGGACCCCGCGGCGGTCGCGCCGACGCTACCTTCGAGGAGGCAACCGCTGCCACCCAGGTCTGCACCCAATGCCTCCCGCGCAAGGACGGCTCCAAAGGATGCCGAGCCTGCGTGGGCGAGTGGTTTGAGACCGTGCGCAAGAGAGGTTTTTTGGCCAGAAGCGCCAAGGGCCTCTCTTGCGCAGGCAAGTTGTAGCCACGAGCCTCGAGATCCCTCGAGTCAGTCTTGCGCCGAGATCTACCAGGTCAGTCTACACGAGCGCCCAGGATCATCATCAGCATCATCATTGTCATCAGCATCATAATTAATTAATTAACACTACCTTCCTTGGGAAAATCGTTGATCATCCACCCTGGGCCCCCGAATTTCATCATCCCGCAAGGATTAGTATCGTCTGCTTGCGGTTACCTCATCTCGGGCGAGTGCTTCCTTATGCGGGGGACAAGGAGGCACGGTGTTCGACGGTCTCTGGTTTTGCCCCGTGCGCGATGAAGAACTACCCGAATTTGTGGGTCAAGGGCTTTCGGGCCGGGTCCCCCCCTTACTGCGGGGAACAAGGAGACGCGGTCCTCCACAGATGTTGGTTTTGCTCTGCGCGCGAGGAAGAGCGATCCGATGTTGTGTGTCAAGAGCTGTCGGGTCGGGCCCGCTGTGAGTTTGCGGACTCACCCTCTCATGCGTTCCAGTTCTTGCGCGGGTCTGGCTCGTTTTTTGCACTTTTGCACGGACATGCCGAGGCCTTCGAGGCCATAAGATCTGAAGTGTTTCCTGAGGCTTGCGCCGACGAAGGTCTTTCGCCGCCGCCCCAAGGTTAGGGTTAGAGTTGGAGCTGGCTCGCAGCGGATGGGGAGCCGTGGTCTTGGGCCCGAACGTCATGTTTTTTATCCAGGACCCGCCGACCAGACCCTACGACGAGCTAGTGCTGCAGGCTGTTGCGCTTGCCGAAAGCAGCTTGGAAGAAATGCTGAAGGTCCATGCCCATTTACTAGGGGGCGATCCGTCTCTGACGTTCGAGGAGCGAGGTCTCAGATGGGGCAGTGGCGAGGCTGACAGGGCCGCGAAGTTAGGAACGCAATTGCATCCCCTGCTGCTTCTGAGGCTGAGGAGGGGCGTGCCGGTTTCTAGTCCTCTGTTTCACAGGCCACCCGTCCGCCTGGTGCGAATTTGATGGAGAGATGGCCTCTGTCGGATTTGGGCGGGTTCAGCGAGGAGTTTCTCCCCGTCCCGCCCCGCCTGTATTCAAGCCTCCGCATGGCTAGAATTGCGTTGGACAGTTTTGGCAGCGTGGCGAGTGCTTACGGAACGCTCGTCGAGATTAGAATGTACCCCCTCCTCCTGGGCATTGTTCTACAGTGGTGACGATCAACCCTCTGGTTCTCCGCGTGCTCGGCCATAAGAGTATTTTGGTCGACGGCAATGCTGGATATGTTGTGTGTTGTTGTCAACGCTGTTTGTCCTACTCGGGGTGTCAGCTTCGCGGGCTGGGTCACCCTTGCTTGCTGCTTCCCCAGACGCCTGCTGCATTGGCCCCAGATCGTGACAAGAAGTCGTGGTCGGCGGCCAATGCCAGGCGAAAGGAGGCCCGATTTAGCTTTACACAGGCCTCCATCCGAAGCGGAAGCAGATAACAGTAGACTTGGACGGCATAGGCCGCCTATAGGTGGTTCAGTGGCTGCGGATGTCAAAAACATGTTCCTTCTCCTCCTCCTCCTCCTCCTCCTCCTTGACACGTCCTCCTTCTCCTTGTCCTCCTCATCCTTCTCCTACTCCTCCCAGTTCGGCGCGCTAGCTTGCCGCGCGTGCGCGGCCGGCTCGTTCGCCACGCAATGTTGCGTGTTTCCTCTTCTTCCCTCCCTGCCCCACCCTGCCGCTCTGTCGGCCCGTGGGCGTCCTCGTACGATCCAAGGCGCAGCCCCAAAAAGATGCAACAATTGCTCCTCCTCCCTCGTCTATCCTCCCTCCCCCCTTCGGAGGGGAAGACGTATTACACAGGAGGAGGAAATGTATTGGGGATGAGGAAGAGGAGGAAGAGGAGGAAGAGGAGGAGGAGGAGGAGGAGGAAGAGGAGGAGGAGGAGATAGAGGGGGAAGGGGAGGAGGAGGAAAAGGAGAACGGGTGGCAGCAAGGATGGGGGAGGATGACGAGGAGGAGTATACGGAGGAGGAAGGGTGGCAACGTCGCCGTCGACGGCGATGCCGGCAGCGACAGCGACAGGAGGCGGAGGAGCAGGAGGCAGGAGGAGGAGGGAAGGAAGGAAGGAGGGGGGGGGACTCCCCCCCGTCCCCCCCTCCCGAGGGGACGAGAGGGCGGGGGCGCGAGACGAGGGAGGGCGGAGCCCCTCCCCGCCTCGTGCCTCTCTCTCTCTCTCTCTCTCTCCCCCCCACGGCGGTGGGGCCGCTGCAGGGACGGCTGGGTGCGACAGCTTGCGCTGGAGCCGCTGCCGCAGGGCGGCTTCGGCATCATCCTCGCGCTCCCCAGGGCGGGGCTCCGCGGTCGGGCGCGGCCCCTCCTCGTCCCTCCTCGTCCCTCCTCCTCCTCCTCCTCCTCCTCCTCCTCCTCCTCTCCCTCCCTCCCTCCCTCCCTCCTCCTCCTCCTCCTCCCCTCCTCCTCTCCTCCTCCATTGGCGGCGCGCCGAGGGGGACAAGAATCCAACTTCTTATTAGATAAAATACGCTGCGAGTTGTCTGCGGGGTACCCCGCGGTTTTTCACAATGCACTCTGCGGCAAGCTCTGCGCGAAAACTCTCCAGGTAAGGTCCTCTGCATGTTTTGTCTCACTCGCGATATGTTGGTCTGACCTTCGCACTAAATGACGGTACCAACGCCATCGCCACGGTAATCAACGCAAGGGAGGAGGGGAGAAGGTAAGGTCACATGGAGGATTGGAAGAGTGTTGTTCAGATGAGGGAGGCGGATGAGAGAGGGCAGTGTGACATAATACGTGGGGGTATAGTTAGTGCGTGATGGATGGTCTAATATAGCGGGTGACAATACAATTGGTTGTACACTTTGCAACAACGGTGGCAGGTCTTCCATCGCGTTCGCTCGCAGGAACGTTCATTCGATGAGTGCGGTTTTGTTTCGGCTGCATGACATACCTCATCGGCGTGGTTGGGCGCGCCTCGAGTGGACTGGTGGGGTTGTTCGCGGGTGGTGGTGTGGGGGGGAGGAGGCAGTGGTGCGCGCAGCAATGCAGCAGCGCAGCAGTGGACGCCGCACACATCCACCACCAGTCATACATTGTGCAGGTGCACGGTCGTGCTTTTGAGTGTATTCAGCAGTTTTTGTTGGCTTATGGGTCTCGTTTGTGCACACCATCAGTCGTGCCTCTCTCGGACCACATGCCAGCCAGATGCCCCTGCCCCCCAGAAAGCGGGATCGCCCATCGGTGCTGAGGCAGCGCTTGGAGGATGATGAGGCTTCGCAGGACGGCGACGCCGACCCCCCCGCTGTCGTTGATGGTGCTGCCCCTGCCGCCGAGCAAGCAGTGGGACAACGTGGTCCAAAATTGCGCGGCGTTCCTGTTCGTCTCGTCGCGCATTCCAAGAGGCCGCTTCTGCCTGCTCCGTCGATCGAGCTGGGGTCTTTCGCCTACTCGAATGTCATGGAGTTTGAGTTTCCCCGTGCTCCATCGGCCCAGCCTGAGTTGATGCAGGTCGCCAATGAGTTTTTATGGGCACGCAGTCACAACAGCATCCGCAAGAGTTCTGAGACAGCTGGCAGCGAGGTGGGGAGGCCGGGACCTGGGCGGCGACTCAGTGGCGCGGGATAGCAGCATCAGGTGATTTGGTCGAGCGAGATCGTCAGGTCGCATTGCTGGTCGTTTCTCAGGGACGAACACACTCGATGGTGGGGGGCACGGGCGGTCTGCCCCGTCGTGTCCCCCCCCCCCCCCACGGCAGGGATGATGAGTGGCGTGGGGCAAGGGGGAGTGGCGCGCGGGAAATGAATGGCAGGGACGCGTGCATTCGTCTGCCCGCGTGCGCCCCGAGGTCCTCCTTGGCCAGGCAGTTTCAGATCAGATGATCTAGAGTTGGTGGCGGTCGTGGAGAGCGCGAGGCACGACGAAGCTACGAGCTTGATGGCGGTTAAGCAGGACAGCGGCATCCCAGTTGTCTGGTTTCAAGGAGCGGGTCCCAGCAACATTGTTTCAGACTCGACAGTCGCCGCTCGCCAACCAGGTTCATAATCCAGACAGTACGTCATCATTCGGGCTAGCGCAGTCGGGCTGCCTGCCGCGCTTCAGCGAACCACGGCTCCCACCATGGCACCGGCGTTGAATCTTTCGAGCTATCTGATGTGGCGGTCGGTCGTTGCTGCTAGGTGTCGCGTTCAGTTGATGCGCAGTGACCGTTACGCGGCCCAGTTCTCGGCGGAAGAATTTCTCAGGCTGATCGAGTTGGACGAAGACGCTTGCATCTCCGCTGTGAAACACAAGTCCACGGCTTGCCGGGCGAAGGGGTTGTTGTTGGTTGACTGGTGCGTGTGGGGCTGCATTCGGGTAGCGTTGAGTTTGCGCCTCGGTGGATGGAAACGAGTTGTCAGGCAGTGCTTGCTCCAAGAAGTGCGTGGCGCCATTCAGGTCAAGGAGGGGGTTAGCCCACCTCCTGCGTCAAAGCATCGGCATCTGTGATTACGCATATTCTTTGAACACAACATCAGGTGCCAGAGAAAGCGTCAGCGCCTCGTGCAGTGTCTTCACACTGGAGCTTGGACCCGCACGGATTTCGTTGAAGTGTAGATTCAGCCAGGCGTAGACTACATTGAGAGGGGCGTTGCAGGCCTCGTCGCAGAAGGTATGATGCTGTGCCTAGCTGGTAACATGTTTAACATCTTCAACAGAATGCGCTGGGCAAATAATGACGAATCCGTGAACCAGCTAGGTCCCATTCAGTGTTGTCACGGGCTGCTCGTTCGATTCGAGTCTATAAGCGGTGGTTGAGGCACGCCGGGCACGCAGGCGTCATGAACTGCGGGATCGGAGGCCGCCCGAAATGACGCGGCGTGGTTGGGATTTTCCCGATCGCCGACGACGCCGATCCCGTTGCTGGTCTTGCTGCGACCCCTGAACTCGCCGGCGGCGGAGGCGGTGGTGCCCCCCCCCAGGAGGCGACGGCGCCAAGGCGCCGAAGGACTCCGACTCCTTCGCCCAGCATCATGTTCATGATGCTCCTCATCATCAACATCATCAACAGCATCATCATCATACTATCAGCGTCATCGCCATCATCACCAACGCCATCCCGTTTTCCATCCTCGCCTTGCCTCCATCTCGCCATCCTCATACTTGGTATTCCTCTTCCCATTTTCATCTCTTCCTCCTCGCCGTTTCCCTCGTCTCCTCGCCCTTGTCCTCCTCCTCCCCTCCTCCCCCTACTCCCCCTCCTCATCCTCCTCCTCCTCCTCGTCGGCACTCCGATATCAGGAGCTGGTCGATCAGGCATGTGTTTGTACAGGTAGGCGTCGATGGCAGTCTCGTCGACAATGGTGTCCTAGAAGATCGGCTCCCGTTGGCCGATGATGGCCTTGAGGATGTCCCCGGGGCGTCGTTCAATTCCCGCCTCGTCGGTGCGTTGCCGGTCCAGGGTTTGCTGAAATATTCCAGGCTGCGCCATGTGAGCGCCTGTCAGGACGATACAGCCGGGGCCCTGAAAAAGGAACCCTTTTCGTTGGGGAGGGGCTCCGCGTTCCTTAAGTGTTTCGCAGCCTGCCTCAGGCTTTCCTGATGTTTTCGATCGGAAATCGAAGTTTAACTCATGAAAAAAGGGGCCCCGTTCCTTATTTAGGGTTCCTTAGGTCAACGCCCCGACGATACGACGTCGGTGCTACGTCCACTGCATGGCACGCCGTTGCGCGGAGCGCGCGACCTTGCGGGCGGCAGCCGCACTCAGAGGCCCGGGCGCCGTCGGGTTGCTGCCGCCGACGGAGCCGCGCGGTGGCCCGAGACTCCTGGCGTTCAGCCCACCTCTGTTGAGCATCCGTGTGCGTCTCTCGAAATTCAGCAGGCCCACAATTTCTTCAATGAGCTTATGCGTCTGTGCGGTTTCTCATGTGTGGTTTTTGATGATCATGTGTTGTCACTTCAATGCCATTATGCGTCGGTGCTGCTTTTTATTTTTATGCAGTGCCTCCCGAGCTCCGTCGTGGTTGCCGGCCTCGCAGCAATGCGCTTCGTCCTGCAAGCACACAGCGCGGTGTGGACCGCATCGTGAGTCGGCGTGCATCCTCGGTGCTCGAAGGTGCCCGAAGGCGTGCAACGGTCTTCGGCGCTCGGGGGGTCTATGGGTATGTTGGGAGATCTAGGTGCTCCTTGTCGGCCAGGGGTGAAGGATGAGGAAGAGGCAGAGGACGAGGACGAGGGCCCTGAAACGAGGGGGAACGTGCCGAGGAGCAGGGGCGTTGAGCAAGGACGTGGCGAAAGGCAGGAGCCGTACGCTAAGCATCGTGCACTGCTGTACTCTGACACTCAGATGAGCAGGGTGCAGGGCGACTACGAGTGCAAATTCATAGTGGATGGCGACTGGATGTCCTCCGAGGCACCTCGAGGGGGCATGGAGTGGAAGGGGGGGGGCAGCGGGAGGATAGGCAGCAGGAGAAGCACTTGCGATCACCAGTTTGCAGCTGCTGTTTTGTTCACCCTCCGCTTCGTCGCCCTCCTGCTCCACCACACTCTCCACAACAGGTCCACTGCTGCTATCCCACACCTCGCCTTTTCTCTTGAGCTTCCTCCGTCTGTCCCCCATGCTCTCCGCACTCCTCGTGGCGGCAGCGCACAGGGAGGCGTGGGGTGTGGAGACGTGCGCCACTGTGGCGGGAGGGCTGCCCATCACGCGGGTGGACATGCCCGTTTCATCGCCCTCCTGCTCCACTCATTGTTGCTATCCTACACCTCTCCTTTCTCTTGAGCTTCCTTCGTCTGCCCCCTATGCTCTCCGCACTCCTCGTGGCGGCAGCGCACAGGGAGGCGTGGGTGTGGAGACGTTCGCAACTTTGGCTGCCCATCACGCGGGTGGACATGCCGTGCACAACGTTAAACAGGTTGCGACTAGGTGGAGGTGGCGAAGATACAGTGGCTTCAAGTATCGGCAAGAGAGTTGGGATGAGCGAGGCAGTAGAAGAATGCCGTTCGGTGCCGTGTGCTGACGGGACTGAGCAGCGGCCCTTATGTTGAAAGTCGTTGTGGTCTACGATTTGTGCTCCCAGGCGGGCCACATCGGCCACCGAACCGCAAGTTGATAATCGTCAAACCGGTTCTGCATGAATAGCCGCGAACCTCACGTAATGTTTTGGTTTTTGCCCGCAGTGCGTTGGTGTGTGCATGGGACGACGAAGGCGCCATTTGGTCAGACCCCATGGGAAGGATTCTTGTTGTACCGCGTCATCTGGCAGCGGTTCTCATATATTTTGGGGCCCCCGGATCAGGGCCTGCTGTGCGACTTGCGCTCGCCAGCGGGCGTTACGTAGAAAGGGTCATCACGCGCGACCCGAGAACGGGGTCCGAGATTGTCCGTTGTCTCTTGACACCCGCCTTCAGGCGGCCGAGGTCATGTAGGCCACCAGACGTCCAGCTTAGCCGGCCTTGCCCAGTTATTCTTCGCTCTGCCCAGCCAAGTCCACTTCAGGCCAGTTCAGCCGAGCTCCACCCCGTCCAGTTCGCCTGTGGGCGCGCGCGTGGCTTCGTTGAGGCGAGTTACGCGTGGCCCAAGTCGCCTTCGGCCTCGCGCGGTTGATATGTGGGGGGCGCCCAGGGATTGGGCAATATGTGCCACCACCGACTTCAACGGGAGTGATGCCTTACATGGTACATCCAGACAAAAGTTGGGGAAGTGGATTGGGCGGCAAATACATTTTATTGAACGGAGAGTTGGCGCGGTTTTTCCTTGGCAGAGTTTGCACGGCTGGATTGTTTTAGCAAGTTCCTAAAACCAGCGGCGTGACCGTAGTTCTTTTGAAATTCCGAGGGACTGTGGAGTGCCAAAATGGTATCACCCCCCCGCCCCCCGTAGAATCCTAACAAGAAGAAGCTTGTCGGGTTTGCCCCAACGGCGGGAGAATTAGAGCCTAGGGGTCCTTGTGCTTCAGTGTAATATATGATATATAAGATACCAGAAGGTACTAGTGCCAATCATGTTTCATGCGGGGAATTACAATGGCCTTTTCCAGAATCTCAGCCCAAATCTCATGTGTTACCCCATTGCGGCACAATTACGCCAGGGTTTGTTCCGACTTTCACCTTTAGGTGATTTCGGTCTTCTGCGATTCAATGGAGTTGTCTGGCACGGCGAGGCAGACTTTAGTCGCTTTCTCGTACGTGTCATCACGGATGGCCGACGTCGGCCGTTGCGCCTTGCCGTTCCGTGCCGCGCCGTCCTGAGTCTTGCGGAGGTCAAGGGCAGAATTGAGTGTGAATTGTGCTATTTTCTCGTGGCAAGATGGAACCACTTGCGTGTCCGCAGAGACGCACAGACGGCGGAAACCAAACGACGCCGCTCTGCCAGAGCTGGCTACGGACGCCCCATAACCAGATCAACTGCGATTATACATGGCAATGCAGCTTTGGGCTGACATTAGCGAGGGGGGGTTCGGCCTCGTTCTCTTTCGCAGCAGGAAGAAATTCTCCGTCGAGTTATGGGCTCACGGGATCAAGGATGGGACGATGGGGGTCCTCCTGAGGGAGCTGAGCCCCAGCAGCCACGATCGCCCATGGTGTGTGCTCTGCGCCGGGGAAGGGGAAGGTTGATTGCATGTCATGTATGTACGCAAGGCGTGTCAGTGGCACTTCACATCCTCATATAACATGCCGCCCTGAAGCCCCGACGTCAATCCGATTGAACAACATACAGGCATTGGCTTCGCAGGGAACTGCGGAGGCGCGACTTGCAGGACTAGAAGCACAAGAAGGCTGGCCTCACGAAGGCGCAGTACGTCGCCCGCGTGGGGCAGACACCGCATACCACAAAAGGCACAGCGAGTCGCCGCGAGGATCGCGGCCGGGTTCAGGAAAACCTTTGAGGAAGTGGGCGACACGTACGAGGAGGCTGCCGGGTCCTCATGGAGTTTGGGCCCTGCGCTGAGTGCGCCGCGTGCGTGGCGCAGAGCTTCCATGCTCCCGGCGCTCTTCATGCTGTACTTGCCCTTGCCCTGTGCGGTTGCCTTCCGACTGTCGCCCGTTATTGGGCGCTCGGAAAAGAAGAACGAGTCGTCGTGGGTGAAATTGTGCAATGCGCAAATTTACATTGCGGAATGTCGTCGTTTTTTTAATCAGCGCTTGCAGTGTACGGGTCTTAGCGCCCAGCGGATGTTGGACGATTTGGCGAGCGTTCGCCGCCGACTTCGGTAGGCGGCTGGGTTCCCAGGTTCCCCTTTTTGGGTTCTAGGTTCCCGTTTCTGGGTTCTGCATTGGTCTTTGAGAAAGGTGACCACCCATTTCGGTAGGCGGCCGGGTTCCCGGTGTTCTGGGTTCCAGGTTCCCATTTCAGGGTTTCGGATGAGTCTCGGTGGGTGATTGGGTTCCCGGTTTTGGGTTCCATGTTCCCGCTTCCGCATTCCAGACTGGTTCGGTTGGCGGCCGGGTTCCTGGGTTTCCGAATTTTGGTGCCAGCTTTCACCACACACACATCCACATATATACACATTTTATATATATATATATATCTATACATACACATATATTTCTATACATATGTATATATATATGCATACCATAGAACGACGGATGTATACGGAGCGGTTGCTTATATATTACATGTATATACATACGCGTGTACAGCGTTCACACACACCACTAGTACATGTACGTATGTATATGTGTCTGTATGCTTGAATGCATGTATGGGTTGATGTATGTATGCGTGTATGTATGCCTTTATGTATGTATGTCTGTCTGCCTGTATGTATGTATGTATGTATGTAGGTATAAGCTTATATAATTTTCATTGCATCCACAGATTGAGGGTTTCCTCGGGGGTCTAGTCGAAGACACTATCGTCACGGACGGTCGGCATCGGCCGCGGCGCCGCGCAGTTCCGTGCAGCGCCGTCCTGATCCTTGCGGATTTCTGGCGGGGTGTGCGCTTCTTGTTGGGTTTGTCTCTCGATGGAGTTGATCTCGCAATGCCACCTGCGGGCGACGACGCAAGATGGAACCGTTGCGTGCCCGCAGAGACGCACGCGCGCCTGAAACCAAGCGAGGCCGCTCTGCCATTACCCACACCCAGACCGAATGCCATTAGACAGGGCAATACAGCTCTGGGCTGACATTAGCGCGGAAGGTTGCGGCCCCGTTGTTTTTCCTCATCGCAGAAAAAAACATGCTCCGTCGAGGAAGGGGTCGCCGCGATCAAGGAAGGGACGATGGGAGCCCAGCGACGAGGGAGGTTTTCTGCAATTCAAGGAAGAGCGCAAGGCGTGTCGGTGGCACTTCATATCGTCACAGAAGATGCCGCCCTGAAGCCCAGGTCTCAATCCGATTTTAAAGCCAGGGTCTTGGTTTCACAAAGAATTGCGGAGGCGCGATTTGCAGGATAACAAGGAGAAGAAGGCTGGCCTCACGAAGGCGCAGTACATCGCCCGCGCGGGGCAGGCATTGCAGACAACGAAAGCGCAGCATGTTGCTGCGAGGATCGCGGCCGACTTCGGGAAAACCTGTAAGTGGGCGACAAGCCAGGGGCAGCTGCCAGGTCCCAGTGAGGTTTGCGGTGAGTGTCCCTTGTGCATGGCGCAGAGTTTCCGCGCTCCCAGCGCTGTATTTGCCCTTGCTTTGTGCGACTGCCTTGAGATTGGCGCCCGTCATCTGGCGCTCTGAAGAAATAGTCGTCGCGGGCGCGTTCATGTAAGGTGCGCGCGGATCTTTCCGGGGGGAGAGCGATTGAGTTCTGCGCAGAATTATTTTGGTTTTCTGGGTTTTCGACTCGTGCCTGAAGCCTCGAAACAAAGCTTGCATTCTCAGGACATATGGGGCGGCGATCTTGGGGCTTTCTTGGGGATCTTGAACAAGCCCTAGATTTCTGGAGGATCCCCGATATATCCTTGAGGATTTCTGTGGGGTGTTGTCGGAAATCTCCCCGCATTCGCATGACAACCATCTAGGCTTTTCAAGAAACCTTCAGGAGTCTGGAAGACATCGCCAGGACGCTTGTCGGAATCCTGAGGACTACCTTCAGGATTACTGCTGAAACCACAATATTCGGGTTGACCCAAAAGGAGTCCAGCTACAACGGGGTGGTGCAATAGATCTGGTTCATTAGATTTGTGGGTTGTAATCGATTTGGAGTGTGCACTACGTACCGGGGCACAAACGTATTGGTGGATGCTGGCGTGCAAACCATCCGTTACAACACGATGCAATGCAATTCGCCGGCACAGTAGATGAGCAATACATTTGCCCCAAATTTATTGCACCAGCCCCTTTCAGCTGGACCTCCTTCTGGGTCAACCATAATTCGATCCCCGAGGACTGCCAGGGTCAAGGGGCCATTCGGGTTTCGGAAGATATTGAATGCCCTACAGAGCTGGTGTTCAGATATTGGGGCGTGCCGTTTCTACGCG